TTTCGGCAGCTTTTACCGCCAATGTGACGACATTAGGGAAACGGAGGGATATTACGCATCTTATGTTGCGATGACGCGTATGAGAAATCGGTGGGAGTATGCATCGGCTTCTGTTTGTATGCATGTCCAGGATTGTGTGACACGTATATACCAATTTCAATTCGGTAAGCGTTGGAGGAACAATTATGCAGGCCCCCAAGCCAAGCTATATTCATGTCGATCTGATTGCTTATCAGTTCAAACGTGCATGTCATGTAGTGCCTGTGTGATTTTTTTGGTAAGCGTAGCTGTGGATGTTTACGACAGCCATCCCACAGAAAGTTTACAACAGCCAACGCCAGTTAGTCTAAGTCTGTGGAATGAATGCGCCAACTCTAGAGCGCTATTTGCTTTACGAAACATGACGGGCACTACGTGCTGATTGATAGTTGATGAACATCGCCAGTTCGCCAGGGGGTTGACATTTGGTGACATGGCACGACGAAAACAATGGACAACAATGCACCCACATAAAAAGCAATGCACCACCGAGCTCCTACAATGAGCACAACTGACTTTGTCATTTTGTTGTCAAATACAGGAGTAATCTTTAGTTTGACTTTTGCATGGAGTAGCGTCGTTAACTGGAAATATAACTATTGCTTATATCATTTTCGTATTTGGCGGGCCCCCGCAGGGGCACCGGCTTCGGTCGGTGTAAGGGACTAGCGCCCCCTCGGGTCCCAGCTCCGGTAACGGGTGGACAGCGCAAGCTGTTCCTCTCAGGGCGTAGCGACCCTGCCGATACGTAAGCTCCTGCTCCTTGTCCCGCCCGCTCCTTTCCCATTACCCGCTTTCCCGCAGCCGGGCTTATCACCACTCCTCATCCTCGTTCTATCGGGGTCGCTGTGCCCCCTCGTCCGCGTCCCCGGGTTGATCGGATCCTGGTGGCCGAGGGGCGCGTCGTGCGGGTTAGTCACGGCCCGTCCCAACACTCCACTTTGGCCAGGATATCCGAGGGCGCGGGGGCCCGTGGGGCCCCTCACGGGTTTAGCAGCTTGCCGCCCGCGTTGCGGTTGGGTGCTCCTTGCGGGTCTCCGTTTGGGGCGCCCGGCCGCGCACAGCGGCTTAAGGGGTCAAGGGACGGCGGTGCAGAACCACGGTCAGGACGGGGAGGGGTCCCCCGGCTACACCTGGCCGTGTGGGAGGCGTCGTTCGCCCCATATAGCACCGGGGTAGCCCCGGCGGTGACCACCTCCCGAGGCAGTGTTGGGCCGTCGCCCAGTTGGGCTGCGAGGTGGGTGAGGAGCCCGGTGTCGAAATGAAAACCACCTTTTATGGCTTCTTCTCACCTTAAAAGCACCCGCCCTCCGAAAGAGGGATGGACCTCGATAACCCCAGGGCGCAGAGAAGAATCTGCGCCCCCCGGTTCACGGATCCTGATCTTCGGTAGTGAAGAGATTAAGCTGGCTTCCCTTTCACCGTTTCAGAGACGGAACGGCTGCGACAGGTTTGGGAAAATCATCAGGTGCGACAAGCTCAGGGATGGAAAAATAGAAGTAGAGTTCGCTAGTGGTCTGGAGGCGAGTAGGGCCATGGTTGCTAAGGAATTTACGTATAGTGTTCGGGATGAGACTGGTAAGCATGAAAAGGCCGTGTCAATATCAGCAATACCACATAAGACCAAAAATTCATCCGGGGGCGTAGTCAATTATTTTGATTCTCGGGACGTCGCCGAGGATGAGATAGTCTAAGAACTCTCAGAGTTTGGCGTGACGAGCGCTCGCAGGATTCTCGTCAGACGGGGAGGAGAGGTGTTGCCCACCAACAACCTCATTCTGACGTTTAGTTCCACTGATTTGCCGTCCGCGATACGTGTGGGCTACGCTCGAGTGAAGGTTCGCCCTTATATGCCTAACCCCATGCGGTGTTACCAATGCCAGCGATTTGGCCACACCAAGCTCCACTGTTGTAACCGCCCAGCATGTGGTGAATGTGCGTCATTCGAGCACACAAGTGAAGTTTGCACCTCTGCTCAACCCCACTGCATCAACTGCGGTAAGGACAAGTCCCACGCACGACGTAGGGCTGTACGTGCCCGGCCTGTGCAATAGAAGAGGAGGTTATATCGATTAAAACCTCTAAAAATGTCTCTTCCCGTGAAGCTCGTGAACTTTACGACAGCCACTCGAAAATATGGTATGCGTCCAAAGTGAAAACTTCGTTGCCACAAAGTAATGCCATCGGGCACATGACGGCAGTTCAGTTCGTGGGACTTCTGAGGTCGTTTGGCCTGTCGGTTGTTCCCTCGGTCCGAACGCCCGACTCCCAGTCGGCACTCCAAGCTCCCTCCCCGCCGATCGAGCAGTCGGCAGACGCCGGTCTGCTGGCCTCCTCGGTGCGCGCTGGATCACCAACGGGCGACGGTTGGACGACGGCTTGGCGTGGTCGGAGTCCCCGCACGCCGTCGGCCGTACCTTCGTCTGCGACTCAATCGGTCCTTTCGCTACAAACACCTCTTGCCAGTGCCTGTGAGGGTGTGGCAGAGACACTGGAGCGTCAGGAGGCTGACAGGCGCTCCCGCGAGGCGCGCCTGTCAGCTCGACCAAGCGAGCGCGCCTGACCGAGCTGGAGCGCGCTAAGGCGGCAGGCCGTCTGTCCGGGGCAGACGAAGAGCCCGTCCTCCGAAACAGCACTCCATCGCCACAGAGACCGGTGGAGGCCCCACTGGTCCCTCAAACCCCGGTAGGGGCCCACCGATGGGCCCTCCCCCGCCTCCACCCCGGACTGGGTACGCTGGCGTAAAGCGTGCCCCAGCCGGTCCCCATCTCCATGTGACGGAGGCAGCCCAAGGATTCGTCCTAGGGTGGGGCACGGCCCCCCGGAGTTAGCCTTAGCTCTCGGTCTGAGACGTCTGGGCATACAACTGGCGCAGCCAAGCCCTTTTAAGACGCGACTTGTTTTAGCTTTTTACACCTTACCGCTTTTTTAATGCGCCCTTTTGCAGGCGTTTTTACAGTGGAATTGTAGAGGAATAAGGGCGAATCCCCTCGATCTCCAGGCTGTCGTCAGCAGGGTCTCTCCTGCAGCCGTGGTGCTGCAAGAGACCAAGCTAGCGCCTGGACATTTCTGCTCTTTGAAAGGATATGCGATGTTTCGCAACGACGCGTTGACGGAGACCGTTGCTCACGGTGGTGTCCTCCTTTTAGTTCATCATAGCGTGCCAGCGAGGAGGTTAAACTTGTGGTCCACGCTTCAGGCTGTGGCCGTGCGGCTTTATCTCAATCACCGTCACATCACCGTTGGTTTGCTTTACCTTACACCAGGCATCGCCTTTCCGTTGGTGCACCTTAGATGCCTACTGGCTGAACTGCCTCCACCACTTCTTCTTGTAGGCGATTTTACGCGCATCACACCGCATGGGGGTGTGACGTCACCAATGCTCGAGGCAGGCTGTGTGAGGATTTTATCCACGGTGCTTCACTATGTATTTTCAACGCAGGAACCCGTACACATTTTACAATGCCGTCCGGTCAGACGTCCGCACTAGACTTAAGCCTCTCCAGTCCCCAGCTCGTCCAACACCTCGAGTGGAGTGTTGGAGATGACCCCATGGGCAGTGGCCACTTCCCAGTGTGGGTCCGGTTTAAGAGAGGTGGAGCGTTGAGTGTTAGACCATGACGCTGGAATTTTAAGAAAGCGGACTGGTGCGAATTTCAGACTCTGCTGGAAGAATCGTTAGTAACTGAGCCTGAGAGGACGCCACCCTCTATTGAGAATTTTGCTCACAGACTTTTAGAATGTGCCAACAGTTGTATCCCACGCACGTCTGGCGCTCCCCGACGCACTCCTGTTCCGTGGTGGACGGAGGAGTGTCGGGCGCCATCCGGGCGCGAAAACGTTTCGGGCTTTTGACGCCAGGAGCAGTGTAGAAAACCTGATAGCCTTTAAGAAAGCGAGAGCTTTTGCTCGGCGCACTGTAAGCGGGGCGAAGCGTGCTTCCTGGCGCGCGTACGCGAGCACTCTAAACCGGTTTGCGCCGACACCGCAGATTTGGGCCCGGATCAAGCGTATTTCGGGTCAGTTTTCACCCGTAGCTTTACCGGTGCTGTGTGTTAACGGCCAGGCTGTGACGCGCCCGTTGGATGTTGCGAATGAGGTTGCCCGGGCCCTAGCCCAACGCAGCGTATGTGGTAACACAAACCCACAGTTTGTGCGGCATAGAACGCGACGTTAGCAATCTGCAGTGGACTTTCGACAAGTGAATTGCATTCATATAATGACCCTTTCACGCTGGTGGAGTTGGAATCGGCGATCGCCAGGCTTCGCAGCGTGTCAGAAAGCCCGGACACTATGAACAACGATATGCTTCTGCATCAAGCATCTGCCGCGTCGCGTGCTTCGCGTTTTATTAGCGATCTTTAATTCGCTATAGACCAGAGGTGCATTCCCTACTTCTTGGCGAGAAGCTGCCGTCGTGCCTTTCGTGAAGCCGGGCAAAAGCTTCACGTCCAATCGACTTTGTCGCGGTAATTGTATAATGTTTTGAGATATGCAACAAGCAATGACATGAACTTCCATGTGGTGACAAGGGCACAGTCACCCCTATACGCGATGCAAATTGGGCCCAGATACGGCGTTCGTGTGCGGACTTAGTGAACTTATACCTGCCATCGGCTTAACGTTGGCATCGCACCCTTAAAATAACCATCGAACTGATGACGGGATCATGGCTTGCAAATATACATACATATATATATATATATATATATATATATATATATATATATATATATATATATATATATACCTACAGTGACTAACCTGCGGTGGAAGTAACACGTGTGATAGTGTGCCCCGGTGCTGACATGCTGTGACCGTAGGACATGTGACAGTGTGCCGCGGTGCTTATCTGCGGTGACCGTACCACGTGTGACAGCGCGCCGCGGTGCTGACCTGCTGTGACCGTAGGACATGTGACAGCGTGCCGCGGTGCTGACCCTGCCATGATGCGGTCGCAGGCGCTGAAGCCCAACGAGGTGGTCAGCGCCGCCAGTCCCAGCATATCGTTCTCGATGTTCCACCCCATCACGGTGAAGCTGCTGCTGACGGATCCAACCAACCACTACATCTTCACGCCGGCCTGTCACGTGTTCACACAGGTCCGTCAACTCACTGTCGGCTGGGCAGGGGGCCACCGGCCGGGCTCACTGTCGGCTGGGCAGGGGGCCACCGGCCGGGCTCACTGGCAGATGGGCAGGAGCCACCGGCCGGGCTCACTGTCAGCTGGGCAGGGGGCCATCGGCCGGGCTCACTGTCAGCTGGGCAGGGGGCCACCGGCCGGGCTCGCTGGCAGATGGGCAGGAGCCACCGGCCGGGCTCACTGTCAGCTGGGCAGGAGCCACCGGCCGGGCTCACTGTCAGCTGGGCAGGGGGCCATCGGCCGGGCTCGCTGGCAGCTAGGCAGGGGGCGATCGGCCGGGCTCGCTGGCAGCTGGGCAGGGAGCCACCGGCCGGGCCCCGCCACGGCTTAGCCGCCGGCGTTAGTGACGCACGGGGATGAAGTGTTTTGGTGCGCAGCTTGAGCTCTGAAGCGCGTTCTTTGAGCGTGCCCGTACTCTGCGCAGTTGTGAAAGGTTCTGTCCATAGACTGGTTTTGTATGTATTCGTGTTCTGAATTTATCTAGTTGCTGCTCTGTACGGTGCTTTCGCTGCTGGTGATGGCGAGCGCTCACGGTGACGCTGCCGAAAGTACTTAGAATCGAGTACTGTACAGTAATTCGCTGTCGCTACAGCTGTTAGAACTGCTGTTCACGAGCCGTTTATGCACTGCTGTTCAAACTTATGATATTCAAGTGCTTTCGAAATAAACCGCAATTTGGTTGTACTACTAATGTGCGTGTGCTTTTTGCTTGTAAAGGTGAGCTGTGCTTTTTGCTTGTAAAGGTGAGCTTAAAGATAAGCCAACTTCTTGTCATTTATATCTGCCAATGGCATTGTTAACGTCGCTCGTCACTACCATTTTTGTAAGTGCAAGATTGACTACGTGTCCTCCACTATGTTCCATCATTTTTCACTTATGGTCTTCACAAATCCTGTTTACTCACTCACTCTGATTTTACTCCCGTAGAACACGTCCCGCGCACTTATCGTGATATTCTGCTGGCTTGGTGCTTTCCACCATTGGATTGTCACAGTTACGATCTCTCCTTTCTTGTGGCCATCGGACACTGTTCACCTGACCTGGCCTGGTGCTGTTGGCAGGTGACACCTTCCCTCCCGCCCCTGCGTCGGTTCACGTGACCAAACCTGGTGGTCCAGCGGGCGCGATCTCTGCCCCCCCCCCCCCCCCGTCCTCCATCTGCGGTAGCATGACCTAACGTGGTGACCCGGTGTCTGTCGCCTGTCTCCAGCCTTGACTTGCCTGACCCGACGCGGTGCCACCGACAGGTGACTCGCTTCACCGAGGTATGTTCGTGGGTGACGCCCAACATGATCAGCGTGCTGCGGTTAGTGGTGGTGCTGCCGGCGATGCGCCTCCTCCTCTCCGAGTCAGCCGCGCTCCGGCAGGCGGGCATCCTCGTCGTGCTCCTTGGCGAGTGGATGGACGCGCTGGACGGCTTCGTGGCGCGTCTGCGCTCCTCCAGCCAGGCGGTGACCTCGGAAGTCGGTACGCTCGGCTATTACATGGACGGCGTGTGCGACGGCATCAGCTGCGCCATGCTGATGCTGACGTGCCTGGCGTACTTGCGCCGCCACCCTCCGCGCCAGAGTGACCTCTCCCTTCAGCTGCCCGTCATCTGCTCCAAGGTACGGACAGCTCGCGGCTCGCGCCAGGGCGCCGCGGCCGATGGCTGGCCGGCGTCCGCTGCGAGGTGCCCACAGTTCGCGGACTAGTAGTAGCCGATTTTTGTTGTGATCTGCCGGAATGAATTCCTTCCTTGTCTTTTAATGGAGAGGTCTGTACATGGCTCTGGCTTGCCTGTGCTCCTTATATGTAAGCGCGCGTGGTGTACAGTATCCTGTAACATCCATGGGGTGTTAACTGCTTATACTTAACTGGTGGCATCAGTGCATACGTTTATGACCCGAAAATTCCAACTCCTGCACATAGTTTACGTATGTATCTGCTCACCTGTATGCGTGAACTGATGGCATTGTATCGTATTTTAGCCTTCCCATTGGCGAACTCACAGTTCAATGCAAGATGTGTGCTGGCTCCGACCAGTTCGGTCGCTTATAGGTGCCTGCCTGGCGGCTTATCCTGATGAGCATCTGCCACCACCCCACCCAGCCCTTCCCCCTGTCCTCGTTACAAAGTCCGGTTCCAGGGACGGCATTTTTGGCCCGCCTTTGTTGTTTCGTTCCTGTTCGCTATGCCTATGCGACACCGTCCCGCGATTGCCTGGCTGAGATCGAGTACTTGGTGTGTCATGGCATTGGATTCGGCCTCCTGAGCAAGGGAGAGTAGTTCGCTTGACCCGTCGCTCAATACCGAAGACTATATGTTGGTGCTTTGCGTTCATCTGATAACTAGGCTGATAGTGTCAGCCTGCCTCAGGGCGGTCATGTAGCGTTGCATGCCACATACAAGATCCCTGCGTGATCCTGTCTGGCCAAAATATCGTGAGGAAACAATATGTTGCTTTGAAATGGCATTGTGCGGTAGGTCCATTGTAAGAGCACCAGGCTAGGTGCGGCATGTACCCTAAACGGAATACCCCCAAGTAAACCATCCCAAAGATGTCCTTTGAACGCGCCGCTCTACCCGACCCCTCACAGCTCGCTGCCCCGCTCTGCCCCTCACAGCTCGCTGCCCCGCTCTGCCCCTAACAGCTCGCTGCCCCGCTCTGCCCCTCACAGCTCGCTGCTCCGCTCCGCCCCTCACAGCTCGCTGCCCCGCTCCGCCCCTCACAGCTCGCTGCTCCGCTCCGCCCCTCACAGCTCGCTGCCCCGCTCTGCCCCTCACAGCTCGCTGCCCCGCTCTGCCCCTCACAGCTCGCTGCCCCGCTCCGCCCCTCACAGCTCGCTGCTCCGCTCCGCCCCTCACAGCTCGCTGCCCCGCTCCGCCCCTCACAGCTCGCTGCTCCGCTCCGCCCCTCACAGCTCGCTGCCCCGCTCTGCCCCTCACAGCTCGCTGCTCCGCTCCGCCCCTCACAGCTCGCTGCTCCGCTCTGCCCCTCACAGCTCGCTGCTCCGCTCTGCCCTTCACAGCTCGCTGTTCCGCTCTGCCCCTCACAGCTCGCTGCTCCGCTCCGCCCCTCACAGCTCGCTGCTCCGCTCTGCCCCTCACAGCTCGCTGCTCCGCTCTGCCCCTCACAGCTCGCTGCTCCGCTCTGCCCTTCACAGCTCGCTGCTCCGCTCTGCCCCTCACAGCTCGCTGCTCCGCTCTGCCCCTCACAGCTCGCTGCCCCGCTCTGCCCCTCACAGCTTGCTGCTCCGCTCTGTCCTTCACAGCTCGCTGCCCCGCTCTGCCCTTCACAGCTCGCTGCTCCGCTCTGCCCCTCACAGTTCGCTGCTCCGCACTGCCCTTCACAGCTGGCTGCCCCGCTCTGCCCCTCACAGCTCGCTGCCCCGCCCTGCCCCTCACAGCTCGCTGCCCCGCTCTGCCCCTCACAGCTTGCTGCCCCGCTCTCCGTGCAGGTGGAGCCGCGCCCATCGGAGTCCAAAGAGGCTCTTTTGGGCGGCGGCGGCGGCGGCGGCTCCTCGACTGGGCCCCGGCTGCCGGTACCGCCCCGCCTTCTGCTGATCAACATACTGCTCTTCTCCGGCCAGCTGCTGTTGACGTCTGTCGGCTGGAACCACGCCGTCACCGGCTACCAGCGCGAGCTGCAGAACGCCGACGGCTCGCACACGGTGAGTGCCGCTGCCGCCGCCGCAGGCCGGTAGGACGCGGTGCGGCGATGACGGCGGGCCGCGGGAGCCCTGACTGAAACGGCCGCCGGTAGCCCGACCTGTGCGAGGCTAAGCCGAGCAGCCGACCCGCAAGGCTGCGGTCCACGGCGCCGGCGGCCGGCGCCGAGTCACCGTTGGTGGTGTTTGGGCTGGCCTGGTGGTGTTTGTCCGGCGATAGGGCTCTTGGTCCGCATCCCGTCCTGTGAAAACCTGTACCATTGTCAGTGCCCGCCGCGCTTCGAGGGCTTGCGCCCGGTGTCTGTGTATGTAGGCTGATGCTGTCACGAAGCTGGTTCCACATGTGTGCATTGGGAGGGGGGGGGGGGGGCAGCTGTCAAGGTTTTAGTGGATAGGATTACGTGGCAAGAGGACAACCTTACCCATCCCTTTAATAATGCAACTCCATTTAACTTGTTCATTCAGGGTTTTCGCGTGCACTGTTCAGGATAGCATGCTCTAATGGTGAGCCTGGTAGTTTAGTGATACTTGATACATGTCCTAGACTTAACGTATTTGGGTGTAAAACAACGCCCTGTGAGGAATGATTTATCGTTCCTTTTCACCCATTTCTGTGAATTTGTCACTCCCTCCTCATATTGTCCACCGCATACACTGACCCTGTATTCTCCTTCCACAGATGTTCCTTTGCTTCTATCCAAGTCCAAAGTCATTTCAAGCCACATAGGATAAACCACCTGGACTCCTATGGGCGTGCCCTGCCTCACCCACACCTGACGTGTGCGTCAATCATCATTTTGCGCCAATCATCGAATCAGTATTCGAACCGGGACTTCCACAACCTGCCTGCGTATGGCCCCATGGTACACCTGAACGATAGAAGCCAACCATAGGGGAATGTTTTGGGATAGTTGTTAATGATCAATGTCAACAGTTGACATGTACCTAGCCGGACAAGGGATCCCGAGTTGGCTCAGGCTACGCCGCATATACAAGGTACGCTCAGAGCACACCATCGACGCCCAGCCACGATGCAGGGCTCGTTGTGGTGATGCAAAGAGAAGCAAGACTTTGTACCCAAACTTACGATGAACAGAAGCGTCCGACAAGATGCATATGAGCTGCGTGCCATGTGGCCTAGTGCCAGATGGCCATGCGGCCTAGTCCCAGATGTTGCGCTTTTGTGTGCACTGCCTTGGAGGCCGAGAGTCCCAGCCGCGCGGGATCATCAGAGTTGGTTTGTGTATAAAAGCAATCACATAGCACGCGGTGGTCCATCTGTGTGCCAAATGTAAGGTGTTTTTGCATCCCGATTTTTTGCAGCCCGCAAGCACTACACCAAGCCTGGTGTATAATTTTACTCCCTACCATTTTTTCCAAAGAGTATTGACTACTAAGTTGCGCTTCTCCTAAAATATAGGAGTGAAAATTCAACGAATGCCTTCTAAAATAGATTAATAAATATCTATCGCTTGTAATGGTTTACTCGTTTTGTTTTCCCCTTGTTTAAGTTAGAAGTGATACAGTTTACTTCAAAATTACCTCCGCTGACAGGCATGGTCCGGTTTTCACCTGCTATAAGTCAGCGGCCCAATTGGCAACAGGTATGCTATTTTTGACCGGCCTACGCCACGCCGTTTAGAAGTTATTTGGAAAACTTCGGGGCGAGGGAGCAAACTGGCCCCACACGAGCACGTGGTACGTCACGTGTCATGTGCTGTGCAAAGCTCAGCTCCTGACGCGGTTTCTGCATGCGTGGATGCACTGCGCGAGAAAAGAGTACGAACGTAAGAGTTTGTAGTAGGCTTAATCATTGCACTGCCAGTGTCGTACTTACGCCACGCGTCTGGGAAACCAGGGGTTTCGAACCGGGCTCTATTCCCCGTAGTGCACGCCCTTCCCGCCAGAGTGAGAGGCAGGCGGCCCCATATCGCCTCAGCAGCTGAGTACGTCCTGAAGCCCCAATGCCATCATCAACAAGTAGACATGATCAGTGTTGATGCAGTACGTTTTTCATCCTTGTCTTGAACACTTTGTTTTCATACGGGGTTTCTGCAAAAAAAGGACGGATTTTCTCGTAGAATAGTGATCTCCATAGCAAGACTACAACACGTCCTGCAAACTTTTCTGGAAATTATGTCAATGCTATTTTGTCCCAAGTCTAAACCGTTCTCGGGAGACCACGTTCCGTGCGCAGTAGACGAGAAAGTGAAGATGCTGAGATTGTACTTGGGAGCAAATAAGTCGTCACGACCCGAAGGAAAACCAGCATTGTAAAACACCCACAAAGAAGCTTGAGCAGCTTAAAACACGAAAGGCGTCATCATGGCACGTTATGCATATGCGGCATTTGCGGATGTGACCGCAAAAGCCAGTCTACCAATTCGACTTTTAAAGTCAGCCCAAGGACACGAGCCAAAAGAACCCTGACCTAAGTGGCAAAAACAAGGAAGGTCTTGCAGCCGAGTCCGCCAATCTGTCGATTGGCCGGGGCTGGAACTTGCTGCAGCGAGACCATCGTGTCGTGGTCGGGAGACACAAGTGTGGATGTATACGAGCCAGAGGGACGAAGTTATGGGGTTGGCGAGCATTACAGTAAGTATTTCTGTGTGAAAAAAATACAGATGCTGGGACAACGTTTGTTAAGGATGAATGAATCTTAACATGTCGCGATACTGGCCGTTGGGCGGGTGGCACAACCTACTTTCCCGGTCGTCAATTTTTCCGACTGTTTTTTTATTGTATTCCCCTTGGACGATAAGTCATAGTTTCATCGGCTGAAAATGCAACTATGCCGATCGACCCTTTCACTGAGGGATATGAATTTTGAAGAAAAAAGTACTCCATTCTTTCATATTGTGTGCTTGGGCATGTAATAGAGCATAGGTGTGGGAACAGGGTGGGGGAGAGGGGGGTGATTCCTTGGTTGCCATGGCGTCCCTTCTTTCCGAGAATGGGGAGCATTAATCCTATGGTGACATATGGAAAGATTCGACGTCAAAATCGATACTGGCGCCGTGACTTTTGAGGTGCTCCTCTGCCTGTGCATCGGAGTCGATTTGCGGTTAGGTCGCTGACAGGGCACAGTTCTTGCAAAATGGGTGTTGTAAGGGGGATCTGGGAGGTGTAATCAGGAGCGGATCCAGGATATCGTCAAGACGGAAACCCGTCTTACTTTACACAGCCCAATAAAGCACAGGCGTGCTACGCATGCATACACGTAGAGCTCGCCCATTTTTTGCAGATTAGTTTAAATGCTGTGGTTTTGAGGTTAAGTGTTTCGGATTAACAGGCGAAATAAACTTGACTGGGCTGCTAACAGCATCAAAACCAAGCATGGACTTGGTTCCTAGGCCATGTATTTACCGCTAGCCGGCTGGGCGATGTAATCAGCTGATGGCTGATGACTAATGCAGAAGTTTTCCTTTGTTATTGAGGAGTGCATCGTATCATAATATTCAAAATATGTTAAGAACATGATGCACTAGTATAGTAAGTGCCACATACTCAATGGCCAATGGAAATGACACATACGACGTCGGCGGCATGTAGAATTACGTTCGGCAATCGCGCGTGAAAATTCTTCGCGCATATTCGACCGTCGCTATAAGACGAAGGCGCCAAGGCTAAAGGACGGAACATGAGCGATCATGGGTGCCGCAGGAGGCCGACAAAGTGGCTCTCGTCAACGATCATAGGGCCTTCAGAGCGGGCAAAAAGAATGTAAGACCAACGTGGTGGCCCCTAAACGATCGGTAGTGCCCCGGCGGACTGACGTATAAGGTCTCGGCCACAGCACAGGGCCCTTCGAGCAAGGGGAATTACCCGAGGGGATGAATTCATACCCATGTGCGATCAAGAGTTCACGGGCACGTTAACAACACGAGCCTCGATAGGAGTGAAGAGTCCTCGGCAAATAAGGCCAAGGGAGAGAGCCCTTGATCAAAGTAGAGCGCCCCTGAGCATCGAGTGTCTCCGTGCATTATCTTTTAAGAGCCCTAGCAACAACACAAGGCCCTCCAAGTAAATGGAAATAGTCCAAGATGTATATTAAGGGCCCTGAGCAACTGAGTGCACCCTGACATATGGGACCCCGGAAAAAGTGTAGAGCCTTTTGGGGGACTGGGAAGAACCCGTGGAGGAAAACCTGATCGATCAACAGTGCTCGGGCATGGAGGTAGATAGCGTCCCAACAGCGCATTGGGCCCGACGGGAACACGTAGAGATCAAGAATAACGTGGAAAGCTTCTTGGCGATCGGATTGACCTGGCAAGTGGACATATAGGGCCAGGTAACCAACAGCGTAATGCCTCTAGACAGCGAAATGAGCCCCAAAATTTCCCCAAGCAACACTTTCTCAGTCAGGGAAGAATGAACTTCGTTTACTTATGAACTCTTTGCTTTTGCAAACAATGGTTCTTGGTCGTCTGAAGCCCCAGAGGCATCCAATTTTGTAGTGTTCTTTGTTGTAAGAAGACTGCGTCCGCCCGTCCGGTTATGGCCCCTTCGGAGCCTTTAGGTACCCTCGGCATGGTCCAGGGGGGATGGTCCCCTGCCTCCACTTCCCCCGCTCAGCATCCGCCACCGGCCCGAGCAACTGAATAGATGGACCTGCCAAGGACATCAGGCCCTCCATTCAAATAATAAATACTCACGACACAATTTATAGAGCTCTGAGCGATCGGGTACGCCCGAGCAGGTTAACGTATACGACCCCCGTCAAGAGCGTGGCGCCTTCCATTTAAATAGGAGGTACCCGAAACCCAGTGTAGAGGGCCCCCGAATAATCGAGTGTGCCCGGGTAGGTTGACAGATAGGGCCACTGAGAAAGCGGAGGGCCCTCCATTTGAGAAGGGAGTACGCGAAATAAGATGTAGAGGTTCCCCACGATCAAATAGGCCCAATCATCTTATCAGAAGGGGCCCCGACAGGAACGAAATGTCCTCCATTCAAATAAGAAGTACCCAAAACCCGGTGTGGAGGGCCCCCGAAAGGTATACCAAAGGTATACCTTTCGGGGGGCCCCGAAAGGTATAGGAGGGCCCCCGAAAGGTATACAAAAGGAAAGGTGTACCCTAACAGGTTATCAGATGACCCGGATGGGAGCAGAGGGCCCTGAATTCAAACACCAAGAAGCAATGTACAGCCCCCCCCCCCCCCGAGCAATCCAGTGGGGCCGAGGAGGCGAACAGAGGAGACCCCCGACAAGTGCGTAGAACCGCATTCAAATAGCACGTGCCCGAGGTTCAATGTAGGGGGCCCCGGGCGATCGAATATGCCTGAGCATGTTATTAGATAGGCCCCCGACGAGAGCATAGCCCCCCCCTCCCCCCCCCCCATTCAGTGCGAATGAAGAAGGCTGTTAGATACGGTTTCGCGTGATCAGATTGGCTTCCTATGAATTTACCATGTTCCTGTCCTAGGCTCGGTTAACACAAGGTGTGCACCTCCTCGAAATAGTGCGTTTCGTTTGTGACTTAACCTCCACATAATCCTTGTGTCTATGGAACTGTGTTTTGTGCTTTTTGTTCCCGTTGATGTACTTCGTAAAGTGGTGTTTGCTGTCAATGTAAGATAAGTGTATTACGCTTAGTCATCCGCTTGCATCTCAGGCTTGTGGCAATACAGCTGTATCTGTCTCAAAGGCCCGGACAGTCTAATTGTGAGTAAGTCAGCGTGTGCGTAATTGCCACCGTGATACAAATTTGTATATCTCTAATTGGGAGGGTCAGGCATGCGATGTGTCACGCGGCACTAACACGCCCGTCCTGGTCTGAGAGACACGCACGGCATGCGCCGACGCTTCATGCGGTCTGTTGGGACGCCCCATTCATAGAGTTCAGGCCTGTTTCACAGTGTTATTCATATTGATATGTTTTTCAGGCGTATGCTCGAGTAATGACCGTGCCTCCCCGATCCACATGGAGACGGCAGTAAATGACTCCAGTTGTATAAGCTGTCGCGTGTCGTCCGAGCCAGAGGCCTCGTGCGCTGGCGCCTGAGGCCCTGGCCAGCTGTGTGTGCGGGCCAGAGGCCTCGTGCGCTGGCGCCTGAGGCCCTGGCCAGCTGTGTGTGCGGGCCTGTACTCGGGTGAGCCCTCTGTTGTGCGGGCCTCTGACGCTGCCTCTGCCACCACACCAGGCCCGGCAGCTGACTGTGTTGAAGGCGTCTACCACCTGGATTCTAATGTGGTTCTGGCGGGTGGCCTGCTTCCACTCTATGCTGCACTGTTTCATAATCGCCGTCTTGTTCAACAAGATGTGGGTGAGTATGCCGGGCTGTGCCTCGGCGCTGACGGGCTAGTGCGGCTATTCTCTAGGAACGGTAGTCGCAGTGGTATAGGCCCACATGTCAATGTGTATGTTAAAACGTTTGGGTGGGCGGTCATGACTCTGGAGAGTTTCTCGTCATCGGATGTTTATTTGTCATGCGTGCATTATGAGATTGCATGTATGTTATTGTGGTATGTGGAATACACACCAAAATTTTAAATAACCGCTCATTTTCTTTTGTCTCTTTTAGGAATTTATCATTGCAGTGCGTTACATCGGTTATGTCGCGCTGCTGGCCCTGATCATCCTCAACGAAGTCCACCTACAGACCATCGTGCTATACTTCTAGTGACGTCGGCGGCCGCTGGGCGGCCTCGGCAGCTCCTAGTCGCCTGTCATGTCACGGCTGCTCTTGCGCCCGACACGCGCCGGTCCAGGGCTGTGCTGCCGTCCGGCTGGGGCGCAGCGGCCGGCTGGGAAGGGTTACATTGATGCTCCGAGCCGCTCGTTCCCCGCCATCCGGCGAACGGCGACCGGTAGCGGCCCGCGCCTGCCTCAACCTCGCCTGGACGGCTGATACACCGCGCCTGGCGCCGCCTGGATATCAGCGGTAGTCAAGGTCCGCCTCATGGCCGCATTCAGCCGTGTTTCGGTAGATGTCGTTCGAGCTTGTTTGCTCGAGTTGTTATCGAGGTGCAGGGTTTGAGGTGAGGGAACTGTTGAAATTTTGGGCTCCTGTTGATATGCAGGACTGCATCCAGTGCCAGATCTGACCGAGATTGTCGCGGTGCCGGAGGTGACTGCAGCCATGCGCGACTTGCGCTTGGACATGATGGCCCTTGTTTCAGTTTTGAAAAAACAATCTGGTTAATGTGCCAGCATTAATCTAAGGTGCAGATATGTTCCCGGCATTCCGTCTTTGTAGTTAAGCCGACAATCGAAACGCTTATCTGTCGTCTGTTTTTGTCTGATGCCCTGACGAACAAACTGGGATCGGCGTTAATAAGCGGCTTATGCACCAGGTGACTAATCCACCAAATGCGTGTATCTCGTCTATCGTGGTTCAAAATATCACAGATGTGCGTCCATCGAGACCCCAGCACGCCCGCGAGCTGGAAAGTTGATACCATGTAGCATCTGGTGCCGGAATGCGTTTATGCACGAGGGAAGCACTCCGCTATTTGTGGGTGCTGTACTACTGGAGTGTGCATGGCGTGCTGCTAGTGTGATATCTCCATCTATTGGAGGTTTGCTGTGATTTTATGCACATCTATGTTTCCTCAGTTCGTGTTGCTTTTGGCGGTGTTTTATTGGGGATGGAGCAATCACTGTTGTGATTTAATTTGTCTTCGGTTCGTAACGCAAGCTGCATCATGGAGAGCAAGCCAGAGTAGTCAACTGCATCATTCGTGCATGAGTGGGTGTAGGTTAGGCAGAGTTTGCAGGATTCACTCCTATTAAGATTGACTACGTTGGTGAGCGATGGTCGGTCGCGAGTTACTGGCGCGTGGTTGTGTAGTGAGAATACCCTATTTGTTCTCTCACGACTTGCCTTGTGTGCAGTGGCCTACGTTACTACCGTAGCGGTCCAACGGTCAGTGACAGCGCACGTGCCGTTTCGCCATCGTTATGCATTGCCGCAAAATCGGGGCTTATGACTGACGTCTTATTTCTGTTTGTTAGAATCGTGGCGTCCATTTGTTGCGTTTTAGGCAGATGGAACCGTAGTGGTGCGCGGCCATTCCAGTCCGTTTGTATTATGTATGTCACTAAAGTGAAAGACAGCCATAGATGGGGATGTTTGGAATTCATAGCGTAGACAACTGTCTAACTGCGATCAGCACAAAAAAAAAACACGCGCCCGCAGACTGTACCGCCTTGCAAATGCATTCGCGTGGTTTTTCGCATCATGTCCGCGATGCGACTGGGACACAGTGGCCTGCGCGCTGCCCCACGTCGTGCGGTGCGCGGCCGGACAGTAGGGACGGCGCCCGACGGCTCGCCAGTGTGGCGGTCGTGCCCCGGCCGAGTGTGCTGAACACTGCACGCCGTCGCCTTGAGTCGGAGTCTTCATTGGTCCGGCCTGTAACGTTTGGTAATTGAGAATACAACTGTTAGCGCATGAACACATCGTTTTGCAACCTCAGCAGCGACGGCGATGGGCCTGAGTCGGAGAGCTCGCGTCCATGTCCCAGTCCTGAGGTCCAGCGTCGAAGTGAATCTGTGTCTTGCGTTCATCATTGCTGTATGAATGGAGTCGGGAGACATCGGTTCTGCTTCAGATGAGCCCGAGTCTGAGTTCAAGGACCTTGATTCCGAGTCTGATTCAACTTAATTCGCGGCATGCGTCCGAACTGGTCAGTTCACACGGGCTTTAGTTTCAGAGCCACGGGTGTGAATCCCACCACCTCAGTTATCAGCCAGCAGTATGGGCATGGCATCTTGCGCCGCAATGCAAACAACGTGAAGTGAGAGAGCGACCGCCCTGCGATCGGTCCAGCAGGACTACACAACAAAATTCGACGAGAGGTGAGAGAGCGACCGCCCTGCGATCGGCCCAGCAGGACTACACAACAAAATTCGACGAGAGGTGAGAGAGCGACCGCCCTGCGATCGGTCCCGCAGGACTACACAACAAAATTCGACGAGAGGTGAGAGAGCGACCGCCCTGCGATCGGTCCAGCAGGTCTACACAACATTTGACAAGACATTAAACAAGGTATCGAGATTGGAGGAAAGGCTGAGCCACCAGGAACGCGAACTAGAAAACCCCAGGAAATTCACGTAGCAGCTAGGACATCTCGTGTCGGCGGAGCAGACACGACTATCTGAGAACGGGAGCCGGGCCAGGATGAGCAGGGAAGGAGGAACAAACAAAGACCAGGACGAAAGGGCGAAGAAGCGAGGTGGTCGACGAGGTCGTCCCGGGTCTGCAGAACGCGAGGGACGATGCGGGAGGCGAAGGAGGTGAGGTGGGTGTAGCGCGGTGCCTACGTAGCGCGGTGTCTGCAGATTTAGTTCGAACGACGACGCGAGAGGACTCGACAGAGGAGCGTGTGCGCCGGCGCGATGCGTCTCCCGCGCGCGTGGTGACGATTGCCCGCGGTGAACATAGTGGTGGCGTGCGATTGCCCGCGATGTACATAGCGACGGTGCGCGATTGTCTGCGGTGTATGGTGTTCGGACCCATGAGAGTCTGCGGTGTGCATAGGGAGGCTTTCCCGATGGAGGTGAGCGGAAAATGGGACCTAGAATAAGGTTCCCTGCCTGTTCTGCGAGACCAGGGAAGGTTACTCGCGGAGCGTCGTCCGGGACAGTGTTCGGAAGGAGACGCGGACGCCATCTGTCAGCCGACATAGGCAATGGCGACAGAGGGCAGCACCCGGTGGTGCGCGATGGCGGTGCGGGCACCCGCGACCTGCCGGCAGAGGGCAGTATTTTGCGATGTGGACGGACGGAGCGGTCCAGTGCTCGCGGCCCGCCGGCAAGTGAGCGGCCCGGCGTGGCTACGACAAGGACGAGGAGCCAGACGACCGTAGTCCTGTTTTTACGCAGATAGACGTTTGTGGGTAGCGCGGCTCAAGACACAGTTTCGCTCTTTTTCGGAGACGGCTGACTCGTTTTATTGTTTCCCACTTGACCCCAGGCGTGATTGCATAAAGAGGCATTGGTCATGGCGTGACCCAGGGCCCGTGGGGGCCGCCCGGGATGCTCGATTGTGCATGGCGGTAGCGGAGTCTATCCGTGGTGTCTTCGCCTTGGGAGAGGACAGGAGTCAGTCTACTCTCTTCCGACGTGGTGTACGCCGGGCCTTATGAGCGATTGGTGACGGGACGTTCGGGACGGATAGGGATCCCGCCATCAACGCTCATAGGGGAGGCGACGAGGAATCAGGTTGCCGGACAGGCCGGTCAGGCCGAGTCTCCAGAGCGCGCCAGCCGAGGAGATCGTAAGGCGTGGACGCAGGTCGCGCCGGGCGCTCGTCGTCTGCCGAGGGGCTCCACCGTCCCATAGAGCGCGCTGTCTACCCCCAGACCTCTGAAGGGCGCGCCGTGGGGCGGTGCCTTGCAAAGCCTGCTCCGGTGGGCGGGAGGTGACGGCGCAGAAGTGCCGGAAGCGACGCCTCCGTGCTGGACGAGGAGCTGCCTAAGGCGCATGCGCGGCAGCGGGAAGCTGCGAGCGGTGGGTGTGGCCGTGCGAATGGTGGACCGCCCACCGTGGATGGAACGCGAGGAACGTCGTCCAAACAGGGAGCCATCACCCTGGAAGTCAGGCGAGGGAACGAGTCGCCGTTCAGCTTCGGACACCCGGTGTCGGCCCAGCAGCTGCGTCGGTGCCAAGCTGGCAGATGAATGTGATACAATTTCAACAGGGCTTAAACGTGGCTTCATGGCAATATCGAAATGTGATAAATTAATAACGGGGACGCACGCCGACGAGCCAACTGTAATGCCAAGACGCAGGAAATGAGGGGGGGGGGGAGGGGTCCCACCCGTGTGCGAGCTAAGGATGAGTGGGATGATTTGGGCGCCAGCGGATGTGAATGCTTGGAGTGAGCGCAGTGGGGCGCCGAGTGCATGGAGTCTGCGTGGATTAGTCAAGGCCGGTTGGGGGGTTGGGCAGGGTCATTACCCGGCGGGCTCTTGCCAATATAATTCGCCAGTGCGTGGGACCCTCGCTAGTTGGGCGTACCAGTATGCATGCGGTTCCGTTTTGCTCCATTTAAACATTATCGCAAGCTAAAGGGTGGAGGTGGGGTACCGTGGTTAAGGGCACACAGCCATGGGCGGGTAGACAACCGTTCATGGTGCCTGACCGGACCCACCATCCCGCCAATGCCCCGGTCACCCGCTTCATCTTAGCTCTGTGGCTCACATGAGTGTGCGTTGATGTCGGGCGTACCGGAGCCACAACGTGCCAAGTCGTGCGCTAACATCCTCTGGCTCCTATGCTGACCACTGGGCTACTCATACAAGTTCGCTCTTGTGGGTAGACGTGACAGCGGCAGCCGGCGGCGCACGACATCCAGCGGCGGCCAGGCAGTCGCGCACGACGCCCACCGCAGAAAATCCCCCACAAAGCAAACTCAACCAGAGGTCGAACTTTAACGTGAGGACACAGTAACTCCCGAGAGTGAAGGAAAACTGCTTTTGTGATCAACTATCCGATGGTGTAGGGCCGGTGTGCCTGCATTCTTCGCAGCAACAGATATCATGGCATTAGTTGGATGATAGTGTGTAAATGAACGCTTCGTTTGTGTGCAGGATGTTGCAAGTTGCGGTAACAAAAGAGGCTTTCGGTAATACGCCGATTTCTGATTACGCTGCTGGGCATGGACGTCATTGCCATGTCTTGTCATATAGGATTGCGATGAGCTGCTGGCGACATTTTCGGTCGCAGAAATTTGGTTGGCGATACAAAACACATTTTTTACCACGTCTGGTTAGGTTTATCCTGCGCATCGCGCGCAAACCATGCAGACGCCGTCCTTGAGGCGTTCATAAACGATCGTGTCAGATCTCGGCGACTGGGAGCGAACAAAGACTGAGAGATGTAAAACAGCGCGAGCGAAGGTGCCGTCTTCAAAGGGTCGAGCGATGGTAGCGCGGTTTTCCCAGAGGTGCATCAGCTACTGACGTGAAAGCAGCGATGCTTTCTAACATGGTCAGAAAGAGCCGCCAACTAAAAAGTGGCAAAGTCTCTTGCCAGATGTGCGTACAACAAAGAAAGACTTGTTTAGTTTGGACGTGGATAGGAAGGGAGCAGACCTGGTCCACAAGTCAGACCAGGTCAGCCGGATGTGGCCAGGCAATGACGGCTGTGTCACGGTCCGGCACAACGATGGAACCAAAGCTGGAGTGCAGAAGAGTCTTGCCTTGGGAATTTGCGTAAGTGTGTAACTTTAAAAAGAGGGACTAAAAACACGCTAATCCTGAAAAGCATTGCCTTTGGGTGGGATCTTCGTAACTCCCGAGTTGCAAGACGCGAAACATGACAGTTTGATATTGTGCGGCGTGACGATCGCGTCAAAGTTTGATGTGCGGGCCTTCTCAGCAAGCGGGTTCCAAAAATCGATGAATTTGGCGTGAGATATAAGTATTTATGATTTGACATCAGCTGAAACTCCACATACATGTTTAGCTATTACGTGCCCTTAGTCTAAGAGATAAAACAACACGCAAAAAAGGAAAGTGATAAGGGATAAAAAAAAAACACATGAGCGCATGCACGCATTAACACTGAGGCAACCCAACCACACAAAAAGGACCTGGCAGCACGTTTAAAACTTGTTGAATTCAGTCGTCGAACATTCAAAGGCAACTCATTAATGAGAGACGCTGTTCGGTGTGCAAAGGGCTGCTGTCCTGTCGCCGTGCGCACCGCCGGGGGTGCAGGTTATGGTCCATACGGGTAGGTTGGTCACTGGGCCGCGCGTCAGTGTATGTTTGAATCAACCAGGCAAGCCCCAGGCTCACCTCGCCAACGGGCTTTGTGCGCAGCGATAACAGTTTGTTTTCACGCATCTGGCAAGGCCTGGCAAAGCTCAGGGTCTCACCGCGAGCGAGACACGTGGTCAAACTTTCGGAGCCCAATAACTACTCTGGTTGCGAAGAGTACTACGTTAAACGGTCTGGCCACGTTAACAGCAGATCCCTGGCCATAAACTGAAACGAAGTATCTCACGCGTGAGATGACTAGATACTGCACTATGGTCAGAAGCACTTGTTGATGGAGGCAATGTCTCGGGTGGCGGAGACCGATCAGGCTGCTCTTTTCAGCTCGTTTTCTCTATTAGCTCTTTTTACCTCTCTTTCCGCTAACAGAGGAGTTGAATGTGGTGATGTGGTGTTTGAGCACCGTGCTGCTTCGTTTGGTTGACAACATTCTTGCAAAGTTTACAGCCTTTTTATAATGATTTGGTAGTTGTGTCTTGACTTCAAGCATTTGCATGACTTCACTGACTTCACTGACTTCACTGACACACATGGGTACTTCACTGTTTGGGGTTGAGGTTTGGGGTTGAGACTTGGACAGAATGATCTCGACAGGAGTCCGCGGAGTGGTTCTTTCCCTGCCCCGTCTGCAATGCTCATTCCTCCCTATCTCATCACGTCA